GTAACATTCTGATACAAACGGTGATACCAAAACTTCTTTATGTAATGCAGGCCCTAACTATTCATATTCCATCTTCTTTTTTTTAAAGACTCCAGTCCCATTTTTCTAAGTTTGTATGGGCACATAAACCAGTCAGATTAAGCAATGCGATTTTGAGAAGATCTAAACAAGAGAGGAGGTATGGCCTTACCCGATACGCATTTATACGACTGCGCAGTCCATTTAACCCGTATTTTGGATTGGTGCCGCCATACTACCTCTAAGCTCTGGATTGAAATGGAATAATCATACTCTGTAGCTCCATTATCTGGTCTCCCATGGTGCTATGTTTCTGCCTTAATTCTGAATGAGATTAAAATTCATCCAGCTATTATGCCTACTTTGGCAGTAGCTAACATTGTTTTCTTACAAGGATCTTTGTCACCAGATCCATCCCCTCTAATTACTATATTAGGGAACCCTGCTTTTTTACTGGGACTCTGGGATGGGGTATTTAAGTTATTGCGAAAAGCCGGCAAGTTTAGACCCCTTAATTTTTTGGAAGATATGGAATGGCCTTCAGAGACCATTTATAAACCCTATGCCAGCTACGCCAGTTTAAATTATTGGCGAGTGAGACAATTGTCCCATTTTTTAAATTTATTACCAGAAGCCAGACGATTTGATAGACCATTGACTACATCTGAACACGAATGTGTCCAGACGGGTTCAATGTGGCATGCCTTCTCATTGTGTTATAGGCTCTTCGGGGGAAAAACGACATCCCCTCTGGGAGGAAGATCTACATATACAGCTATCCCTGGAAGCGCATAAAAAAAATATCTCTATCTTACCAATCCTCTATATGTATTAAATACCGAGGGCTGGGTTACTAAATTGTTTTGAGGTGGTATAGGACCCCGCAGATGCTACATGCTATGTTTCCACAGTCTAACTGTAAGCGACGTGGGAACCCTGAAACAGACATGTTGGATGTATTTTGGTCTTGTTCAGTATTGCAGAAGTTTTGAAACCAGGTTCAGGCGATGACCCAAATATTCTCCCAGTCTCCAATTCCAAGAGACCCGGCCTTTTTTCTACTCCAACACAGTTTTATTTTGATTAAAGCTTATAAACGCTCAGTTGTGAGGCACTTGCTTAGTGCTGCGTGCCTGTATCCAGCCTTGTTATAGAGACCTGAACTACCTAATATATATCAATGGTTAGATCGCATTCAGGAAATTTACCTTATGGAAGACCTTATGAGCTCTATTAAAAACACCTCCTTTAGTTTCTGGAAAACTTGGTTTCATTGCAGGGAGTTTATAAATTCAGCCGAATATCTTGCAATAAGACAAGATTTGGGATAGTGACTATTGGAGGAAACAGGGAGATATATATATATATTTTTTTCAATTTTTTTGTTTTTGTTTTGTTCGTGTACTTGTCCTGTTTCATGCAGCTTAATCAGTCTATATTTTTATCAGGTTGGGCTTGAGAGGCCCATTCATGTCTTAATTTATTTGTGTAAAGATAATGATCTGTAAATGTTTCTTCTTAGATTTTATATTGGATGTTTCAAAACAATATAAATAAAGAATCTATTAAAACAAAAGTCCTGGGGGCGAGCATGGGAGGAGGTGATGAGGAGGTTAGAGAGCAAAGGAGGAGTGGAGTGGAAAGTTCGGGTGATATTTTGAAATGAGGTTGGTGATGTAGCAGGGACAAGAGTTGCGTATGTGTTTGTATGTTGTGGTTAGTATTTTGAATTTTATATGATATTATATAATATAATATCATATCATATAATTATATTATGAGAGAACGCTTTCTTGTGGAAAGTGCAGCTGTTTGAATTTGAAATGAGTTTTCTTCCAGATGCTGTGTTTGTAATATTCTTTTGAGTAAACTCCTTTTTATTTAAAAAAAAAAGTTTTCAGTAATATGACATCCTTGTAAGTCCGAGAGACACCATAAGAAAGTGGACTACTTCCCTCCAAGGAGCTGCTTACAGACAACACAATGTGATTACCACTGCAAGTGGTAAATTGTTTCTAACTGTTTAGACTGGTTTATGAACAAAGTGGAACTTTATATTCTTTGTTTCCAATTATTTAGATTAGTTTAGATACAGAGTGGAACTTTATTTCTAACCACTTCGTTTTGGTTTATTAGGTCAAAAGAAGAGGTTAGGTTGAGGAGCTGAGAGGTAGGCTGGGGTATTAACATTAATATAGATGTTAAAATCAACGAAGATGATGGTGGGTATTTCAGAGGAGAGAAAATCGGGTAGCCAAGCAGAGAAGTAATTAAGAAAGCGTGATACTGGTCCAAGAGGCCGAAAAATCACAGCAATCCTTAGAGAGACTGCAGAAAAAAAGATGAATACAGTGAGCTTCAAAAGAGGAAAGAGACATGGAAGGTTGTGTGTTAAGAACTTGAAAAGTGCTTTGAAGGGATAGCATTCCAACTTTCTTTTGCCCACTTGGTCTGCTTGAGTGAGTGCAGTGGAGACCACCCTTTCTGAAGTCAGGTTTCAATAACAGCGATTATGTTAAAGGAGTTAGAGACAAAACAATCTTTGACCAAGCGGACATTCCAAAGAACACATGAGAAAGGGAAAATGGTTTCTGGTAGAGGGGAATTGACATTAGAGAAGGAGGGCTGTTGCCAGAGTAAGGATGGTGCCAGATGTGGGGGGCATAGTTATATGGTGGAGGGCCAGGGTTAGGGTAGATAGTAGACAAGTGCATTCAGATTTGGACAAACCTGCAAATCAACGAAATTCAGTTGATTCGACGGTTTGTCCGAATGCGAAATCGGCGGAGCTCCCTCAGACACGTCCGCTCTGCTTCACATCTCGGCCACGCCCCCTTATGCCCCAATATACTTAAACTATATTCGGGCATACAGAAATTTGTTTGCAGAACGCGCGGCAGCCATGTTTGCCGCCGGCGCATTCTGCGCAGGCGCGCTGCCATCTTTGATTATCTATTGGTATTCACCAAGATTGCGGCGCCCGTCATCTTAGTGTATACCAAGATACACTCAAAGATGGCGGCGCGCAAGCGTAGAACGTTCCAGCAGCCGACACTTGTTCTGCATTTTCAGTGTCACATGCTGAACCAGCGGTGGTCATATCAGCCATCGGCGCATTCTGTGCAGGCGCACCACCATCTTTGAGTATATCTTTGGTATAAACCAAGATGGCAGCGCCCAAACATACGGGTGCCGCCATCTTGGTGTATACTGAAATGGCCGGCGCTTATTCTACATTTTCAGTGTGCGGTTTCAGATTCGGAGGCTCGTTGCCTCCGAATCCGAAACAGCAGTAAAAATGTATTTTCTTTGATGAAACGAATGGAATTGATCCATTTGAGGATACATTGTATTATGGTGTATTAAATTAGGATAATTTATTGGATAAAAAAGCGCTTAAACAAATATAAAACGAGATTCCAAAAAGCCAGCCGGTCAGTCTAAAAACAGACTCAATGAGACTGAAGGTGTGACGTGACTGCAGGACCGTCACACCTTTAGTGTCGCACCTTTTGAACTTATTGTTTTTTTTTCTTTTCACAGATTTTTCTACACATTTCTTGGAAACCCTAATTTATGACATTTTATTCTGCATTGCGCTGTATTGTAGTCCTCTAGAGTACAACAAAACCCAGCAATAATATATCACACAGCGCAATGCAGAATACCCCCAGCTATAGAGGAATACAACATACAGTGTATAATGTATTGCTGGGATTTGGGCGGGTCTGGCAGCGGCAAGCGTGAGGCGGGAAGGAGGTACGGCGTGTGAAGCGTGGATGCGGGCGGGCCTGGCAGTGGCGAGCGTGAGGCAGGGAGGAGGTGCGGTGTGTGTGGAGCCGTGAACAGTGCCAACTAATCAAAAGCCGATTAATCGATGATTGAAAACGTTGACAACTTTTTCAATCATCGATTATAATGGACTGAGTCGATTAGTTGTTGCAGCCCTACTGGGAACGTAAAATAAAACAAATATATATATTTATTTTTTTAATACTCACCTGATCCGTGGATCCACCGACAAGCGCATCCTTCCATCTCCCACGCTATTAGAAGCTGCAACAGAGTGTGCTGGTTACTACTTAAACCGGCTCACGCTGTGTGCAGCTTCTAAAAATATACGCTATTAGGGTAGCGGGAGCTAGGCAAAAAACGCAGCCAGCTTTCCCGCTACGCTAATAGCGTATCTTCTCAGAAGCTGCACACAGCGTAACAGCGCGCCCAATTTAAGTAGTAATCAGCACGCTCTGTTGCAGCTTCTGACAGCGTGGGAGACGGGAGGCTCCGGTTCTGCATGTGATGCGGGCGGGCTGACCAGGTGCAGGTGGCAGAGAGGCGGTGGCGAGGGGACGGTTGGTGCCGAGCCCCCTGACAGCCGCGGGCTCTCGGGCAGTGCCCGACTGGTGAGTCCGCCCATGTCCTGGAGTAGATTCTATTATATAGAGAGAAGCAGAGTGATACATATTTTATTTAACTGGGGTATGTAGTACAAAGTGAGCTGGAGGAGAAGTAAAAAAGTAACTGGATAAAACTATATTGTGATTACTAAAAGAAAGAGTTACAAAAGAATTACAGGCGTTGAGCAACAGTACCTGGTTGTTATAATGGTGTTATGTGACATCTGTATGAAAAATTTTACAGTGGTTGCTATGAAAAAAATGTGTGTTCCTGCAATAAATGTGCATTTTCATGTATGTAAAAATGTAATACAATTAGCCCAGCAGCAAAATAGTTCATGAATAATATATTCCCCCCGGCAATCTTCTTTTTCAACCCCCACACAAACACACACACAATTGTTTGCAATTGCCAATGAAAAAGTCACACAACAAAATTCTAAACTGTGTACATTCAGATTTGGTTTAACTATTTGTGTATGATTCCCTGTGTTCCATTAACTCATTTTGAAAGCTGTTCCTCTTTGTGAGTGAAGGGAAAAAAATGTCAACACAGAATATTTTGTAAAGTGTACAGAAACCAACCTGATAAATTGCATATCCTACAGTTAACATTTCAGCTCCCACTTTTTTCAACTTCCGCCTGTTCTTTTGCATCAAAGCTGCAATAAAGGTACACTCATTGTGTCCGTCATCCTTCTCTTTGAGGCTCAACTTAATCTGGGGATTTGTCCAAAAGGTTTCTTAAAAGAGAAACAATACTATATAAATATAGATCTATTAAAAAGGAGACTTACAACAAACAGAAAAAAATATACATGTAAATAAAATATCCCAAAGATGGAAGGAAAGGTTTTTAGACTTTTTTTTTCAAATATGCCTTCAACCACCTTAGGAACCGAGAATTTTTTTTCTATTTTTCACACATGAAAAGAAATCGGAATTTTTGGATAGAAAATTACTTTGAACCTCGATCAATTATATATATTTTTAAATTAGAGGCCCAGTAGAATAAAAAAATGGTAGCTATTTTTTTTTTGTTGCACGATATGTGCACAAATGTTTATCAAATTGATATTTTTAGGAAAAATACAATAAAATGAATGTTAGTGCACAGAAACACAATATAGTTCTGTTTTTTTAGGATTATTTGAAAGTTGGGTTCACGTTGAGTAAATAGACAACAAACATGTCAAGCCTTAAAGTGACATTAAACCCTCAGATTTTTTAACATAAAACAATACTGTAATGTGTGCCATACTGTATTCCATGGTTGTTTCCCTTCTCTTTGCTGCTCTTCCTTTTAAATCTGTATCTTTCTCATGCTGGGCAGAACTTCTGTTTTGCAGCAGACTGCCTTGTCTCTGGAATGGATACATGGTGTCTGTGTGTAGGTTTGCAACCTGAACCAGCACTACAGGAAGAGGCACTCAGCTGCAAATGGAAGTTCTCCCCAAGCATGAGAAGAGATACGGATTTAAAAGGAAGAGCAGCAAAGAGAAGGGAAACAACCATGGATTACAGTATGGCACACATTTACAGTATTGTTTTATGTTAAAAAATCTGAGGGTTTAATGTCACTTTAAAATTGTGTTCATTCGCAGGCACATGGCGGGGTTGTTTAATTTTATTATTCTTTTCCTTTTTTTTTTAACACTTTTTAAAATGTTTTCACTTCATTTTATTTCTATTACAATTAATGTGATAGCATTAGGAGGTAGGGTTGCCACCTGTCCCAGATTCACCTGGACACTCCGGGTTTTAAGTCCTGTATGTGCTGTTTCTGGGTTTCAGACTAACCATTATCAGAATTATTCAAAACTTTGCACATATGTCCAGGCCGACCTCTTCTACCACAGTTGTAAAAACAGGACCGTTCCCAAAATCAATATGTTATTATTCTCATGGCCTTTTTTTCAAAAGCCTGTAATAAGCGCATTGTTCCTCAAAAACTCATGCAAATTGGCCCAATGGTAGAGTTCTATGCTGTGCCTAATCCTTTACATCACAAAGGTCATAGGCCACATTTCCTGGCAGCCATCTTGTTTTTGGTGGCAATATTCAGCTCTATATTCAAGTCAATTGGCAACATGGTTCGGTGGCCATATTGAATTGGGTCAATTTTGACATATATATTTCTATTATTTTGATGCTCTTTTTTTCAAATGCTAATTATAACCACACCATTATTTAATAACTCTTGAAACATGGCACAATGGTAGAGAACGGTGCTGTGTTTAATCTTTGGCAACATAAAAGTCATAGGTCGCATGCTCTGGCAGTTATCTTGGTTTTAGCAATTGTATTTCGGACAATTTTCAAACATCTGTATTTTTATAACTGCTAAAGCTACAGATATCCACCGCAAGGCAAACAAGTGTAATGATCCGTGCAAGCTCGGCCAGATATATGGGATCGCAGCTGCGGAGGTAAGTGGAGATGGTTCAGGAAGAGGGTTCACAGTCACACTTTAATGTATTGAGTGAAGTCGGAACCCCTGTCACATCATACACCATCAGATCAGTAGTAGGCTAGTACTGATAGTTTAACTTTCACAACCACAGTTGAACAGCATTGGGGCCTGTTAGGATTTGTAGTTCCTATTCACTAGTTCAATTCACTAGTGACGACAAATGTAGATAACTCCAGAGTGAGGTTATGGTTACTACAGTCCAGAGTGAAAGTATGGCACTGTTGGAACAACAGAGTTAGTTATAGTCACTGATCCTGAGCATTAATCTCCCTTAAGTATCAACAAGATACATGCAGCAGTGAAATCAATCAATAGTATTTTAGAGAGGAGGCTGTAAGTGGAGCTTCCCACCAGGTATTAACATCAACACAGCACTAGATTGGAAACATGTGCTAATGGTTACTTGCTGTTTAGGTGAGAGAGTGTCAGATATGACGTGCTCCTGAGTCCACGCTGCCAGGGATCCAAGGGTGATAGTGCCAGGTATCAAGGCTGTGGTAGGATAGGTTCCAAGTAGTGTGTATTTCCCTACTTACTACTTTGCTAGAACGCCGAGCAAGTGATCAGCCTACGGTTTTGTAGGCAGTGAGCGGTGGTTGGGGAGGAGCCGGAGACGAGACCCGACCCGAGCGTCTCCTAGCAACGGGATGCCGCGCTGGCCCAAGCTCGCCACGTCATCACGCCGGCTCAGCTGACGAGCGGGGGGAGGAGTGGAGCGCTGAATGGAGGCAACGGGACGCTGCTGACGGGGCCGGCCCCGCCATGGTATCTGGCTTCGGGACGGTGTTCGTTCCTGGCAACAAGGCATTTGCCTGGGGCGGCAAAAAAACGGTGAGGCAGTCAGCGCGAACAGCCGAAGGAGTGCCTGACTGCCACACTCGCTTTCACTTTCCACTGACTCCAGTCCATTTTAGCCGAGGAGAAGAAGGAAGTGCCGAGATCACTGGCAGCGAGGAGCGGCAATACATGGAGCCATGGTTGAGTCTATACATGGAGCCATGGTTGAGTCCTCCCAGGCCAGACGATGATCCGTGTCCCCCCACACTGAGATCAAATGGGGGGAAGAGGATCATAGTACATGGGGGGGGGGGCAGAGCTGTGTGTACATCTTTCTAAACCTAATTTACTGATTAAGGGAAGCCAGAACTGTGCTTTGGATATAATAAGCTACTCAAAGTAAACCATTCTTATATAGAGTGTCTCACATCTGGCCCCTAAAGCCACCATCGGGCCACGTATAATATTCAGTGACTGTATCCTCTATAGAGACTGCGGACATGTTACGATCAGAGACTGCTCAAGAACACAAGATGACTGCTTACATGAGATGACCAGAGACCACTGACACATCACAGGAGATGATCAGAGACTGCTCACATGTCACAGGAGATGATCAGAGACTGCTGAACATGTCACAGGAGATAATCAGAGACCGCTGACACGTCACAGGAGATGATCAGAGACCGCTGACACGTCACAGGAGATGATCAAAGGCCGCTGACACGTTACAGGAGATGATCAAAGCCTGCTGGCATGTTACAGGAGATGGTCAGAGACTGCTGCCATGTTACAGGAGGTGGTCAGAGACTGCTGCCATGTTACAGGAGGTGATCAGAGACTGCTCACAAGTTACAGGATGATCATAAACAGTAAAAATATAGGCAATCGTTATCAACTTTTAATGTACATAGAGGTAGAGCCTAAAGAGGAAAGGGGGGGAGTTTAAAGATGAAGGTGTGGGTCTTAAACAAGGGGTGGGGCACATTTAGATTAGGGGGTGTCAGAGTTTAGTCTTGCCTAGGATAGCACAAAACCAAATGACACCCCTGGGGTGTGTTGTAAAGTAGCCACTGCTCCGCACTCCCTCCAAGTGATAGACTGCAATCTCAATACAAAGTAGTAAACTAAATGTGAGATTGTATTCTATCATGGGAGCGAGCTTGGAGCGGTGACTACTTTACAACACACACAGGGATCATGGGAAACAAAAGTAGCCACCCTCCAGAAGGAAGGACAGTGTCGGCATGAATTCAGAGATGATTTGAGGATCTACAGCTGAGTGATACACAAATAAGCTACATTTTTGTTAATATTTAAGGTACTTAAATGCATTTTTAAAGTTTAAATATCCTTGTTGTGCAAGACTGCTGCTCTCACACACAACATGGTGGCCTTGGTCTCTAGGGGTCTTAGACCTGACCTTCCCCTGCACACTGCTCTAATCAACAGTACTCACAACTACTGGAGACTTTGGCTGCTGCATTGTGAAAGAGAACAGCAGTCCAACTCTCCAACATGTTGTCAGCACAGGGTATTTTGAGTCTTGCTCTAGAAAATTTTCGTGTTCGATCAATTTTTTTTTTAATCGATTAATTTTGATTAATTATAACGCACATACAGATCCAACTACATTGGCCTATACACATACAGCACAGCAATGAAGTAATAAAATGAACTAGGATCACACAAATCCAGCACGTTATTAATCTCACGTGCCCCACTCAATATGGCTGCCGCTTGAGTGGGGCAACTCAGAATAATAACATGCTGGATTAGTGTGATCCTAGTTCATTTTATTACTTCATTGCTGTGCTGTATGTGTATAGGCCAATGCCTTGGCTGGCGTTCCTGCAGAACAAGTTTCTTGGGCAAACCTCTTAGTTGTAACGAAACCGGAAGTCAGGCGGACGCAGAACTCGATAAGTGTCGACAGATCACCGGCCCAAGTGGCTCCATCGGCTAACGAAGGAAATGGGGAGGAGTCAGGTGACGTCACGGACATAGACGTCACCAGACTCCTCCCCCTTCCCTTCGTTAGCTGACGGAGCCACTTGGGGAAGGGGGTAGGAGTCTGGTGACGTCTATGTCCGTGACGTCACTGGATCTCCGACAGGACTCCCAGAAGACCCGGAAGCCGGCGGAGAGGTGAGTGTTTTCATTATAGATCAAAATAATTGTAATCGTTCAAAAATTGTAACGATTAATCGGGTAATTAATCGTTAATTTCCGCAGCCCTAAAAAAACAAAAAACAAATGAGCTCATCTATTACTATATATACAGCCTTACAATAGTAAATACAGAAGGATGGGCTTTAAATGATAAGTAAACCACCCCAATCCTCCAAAATCTTTTCAGCTTGCCAGATCCAGACATCCTCCGTTCAAAATCTTCCAAATGGTAACTGCAACTACATTCTGCAGACTTAGGCCAAGATTAGGCTACCACGGCATTCCAACTGTTGTAAAACTGAAAATCCCATCATGCCTCTG